GGTACATGCCCTTGGACCGGAAATCGGAATCTGGGACCCTTCAGTTCGCAGGCCGAACGCTTCTAATCCACTGAGCCAAAACCGGGTTAGGGCTAAAGATTCTTTTTTTAAAATATATTTTTTTATTGATTTCAGAGAGCAAGGGAGAGGGTGAGAGAGGGAGAGAGATAGAAACATCAATGATGAAAGGGAATCATTGATTGGCTGCCTGCTGCATGCCCCCTCCTACTGGGGATTGAGCCCGCAACCCAGGCATATGCCCTTGACTGGAATTGAACCTTGGACCCTTCAGTCTGTAGGCTGATGTTCTATCCACCGAGCCAAACCAGCTAGGGCTAAAGATTCCTTTAATCATTTTTATTTTTATTTTTCAAGTACAGTTTACATTCAACATTATTTTATATTAGTTTCTGGTGTACAGTATAGCGGTTAGATAAAGATTCTTGGTTCATATTTCCAATTTACTTTCCAAAAGAAGACAATTTGCTTGTTTTGGAGTTGTATTCTGAATTTCATATATAAATGGAATAATGCAGCGTCCTCTTTTGTGCCTGATTAAACAATATCTGTGATATTCATCCAGTTTGTTGTATTTATCAGTAATTATTTTCTTTCTTTCTTTTTTATATTTTATTGATTTTTTACAGAGAGGAAGGGAGAGAGATAGAGAGTTAGAAACATCGATGAGAGAGATCGATCAGCTGCCTCCTGCACATCTCCCACTGGGGATGTGCCCGCAACCCAGGTACATGCCCTTGACCGGAATCGAACCTGGGACCCTTCAGTCCACAGGCTGACGCTCCATCCACTGAGCCAAACCGGTTTCGGCTTCTTTCTTTTTAAAAAAAATTCTTTACAGGTTTGAATGTTTTTAAAAAAATATATATTTTATTGATTTTTTACAGAGAGGAAAGTAGAGGGATAGAGAGTTAGAAACATTGATCAGCTGCCTCCTGCACACCCCCTATTGGGGATGCACCAGCAACCAAGGTACAAGCCCGTGACCGGAATAGATCCTGGGACCCTTCAGTCCTCAGGCCTATGCTCTATCCACTGAGCCAAACCCATTGGAGCTTTTTATTTATTTATTTATTTTTGTTAATCCTCACCCAAGAATATTTTTCCATTGATCTTTTAGAGAAAGTGGAAGAGAGAGGAAAAGAGAGAAACATCAGAGTGAGAGAACCACATCCATTGGCTGCCTCCCGCATGCCCTGGCCGGGAGAAAGCCTGCAACCAAGGTGCGTGTCCTGGACCAGAATCAAACCTGGGACCCTTCAGTCTGCGGGTCGACGCTCTAGCCACTGGACCACACCGGCGAGGGCCTCGCTGGTTATTTTCCATGGCTGCAGGTCATTGCAGAACCACACCACGAGGCATGCACCGTTCCACTGCTGATGGAAATGCGGGTGGTGCTGTTTGGTGGAGGAGGAAAGCTGCTGCGAACATTCCTGTGCGCCTTGGGTGCAGGTGCCTGCGGCTGCCCTGCAAGCCAGCTTCTCCCGAGTGCTGGGACCGAGGGCGCCGTGCCACCGGCAGAGGGGAATCGCGCGCCTGCCGGCTGGGTGCTTGAACTTAGGTGCTCAGCCAGGAGCCCCATTTCCCGGCGAACAAAGGCTTTGCAAGGTCAAGCGCCTTGTCCACAGTTCGACTCTCCAGTATGCTTGGCCACATGACCGAACATAGGACGAAATGCTTATCCAAATGTTGGGAAACGGAGTATTTTCGCGAGCATCGAGGCCGGCTCACAACTTGAGAGTGAGACAGCCCGCTCCTCCCACGGCTGAGCCAACCCGGGCGCCGAACAAAGGAAGCGCCGGGTTGGCTGCGGGGGTTGGCTGCGGGTGGCCAGACCCCGCCCCTCGCCTACGCACATGCGCAGGTCGAACCCTGCGGACCCCTGTGGCCCCGGCGCGCGTGACGTAGACCCGTACACCGGTGCGTGGTGACGCAGGGGCGTGCGCTCGGTGGCTAATCCGGGGAGATGGCGGCTGCTGCTATGGAGGAGAGGGATTGAGAGGGGCGGAGGGAGGAGGCGAGAGGAGAGACGTTCCCAACGGTGAACACGAGCGCTGCGCTCGCCCTTCACTAGGAGCTGTGCTCCGTGCCGAGGTGAGTGCGGGCCCGGACACTCGCCGGGGCGGGCGGCGCTTTCCGCCATTTTCAAGCGCGGCCGTTGCGTGGGGGCCGGGAGGGCCTGGGGCCCGAGTCGAGCGAGCCGGGAAGATCGGCGTCGGGAGGGCTCTCGGCGGCAGGTTGGAGCCTGAGAGGACACGCTGGAGGCTCGCGGTGGCCAGGAAGGAGGGCGGGTCGGACTAAGGCTGGCGGGACCGGGGGCGACCGGACGCCGCGGAGGGAAGGCCCCGGGGAGACGCGAAGTCGGCGGGAGGGAAGCGCGTTGCCCTGAGATGTGGGGCGGGAGTGGGTTGGGCCAGAGTGAACGGCGTGTGGCTTCGAGCGGTTGGTTTAAGGGTCACGGGAAGCGAATGCCTCCGTATATCGTGGCTGGCAGTTAGTATTTGTAACAAGAAGCCTGCTCCTTCGGAATAGTTAACCCCCGTTTTGTTTGCTTTAAGTAATGCTTCCTTCAAGAGCCCCGATTTTAAGTTGCCTTCTGGTAGCTAATATTCAGGCTCTTAGGAAGTATTCTTAAAAAGAAAGAAAAAGAGAAAAATGCTGTTACTTAGTTGTAACCCTTGTGGTGAGTGGCCCATCCGGAGAGAGAAGGCGGGTCGATAGGGAATTCCGTATTGGATGCGTGTAAATCAAATTAGAAAGATACGGATTATTTGTACAAAGCCTGTTAAGAGTATTTTGAAGTAATTGCTGCACAGAGGAGGTTGAGTTGACTGCTCAGGACCGTAGGAGACAGCAGAGCGCGAACAGAAGCCTGTGCTGCCAGGAAAGCCCGGGCGCGCCGAGCTGCCGTCGGTGCAGGGTGCACGGTGTATTTTTGCCTGTTAACGTGCAGGGTAGCTCTGTTTAAGGCAAATAAAACTTGTAGTTGAAAGGAAACACGTTATTGTTCCCTTGGTAGCATTTCCCCTCTAGTGATAATTACACTTAACATCCATCTTTTATTACCATACTTTCGCTTTTTAAAATTGATATCCTTTCCAAGAAGATAAAAATACTGTGTGGATTTGAGTTTGTGCTGAGGCTTAAAGTTCCATATTTAGCCAATTTTCTTGAAAAAATCTTTCGGTACTCTTGGGAAGGATTGGTAGGAAGTTGGCCTTACATCACAGTGCTTTAGGAAAAAAAATAAATCCGTATTTATGAAGTTGATGGCTTAACTTGCATTCTTTGAAAAATATTTAAAGGACAGATTTTGCAATCACAGTTTTAACTTGACTTAAGGCTTTAATTACACTTAAATATTTTTATTGATTTCAGAGAGGAAGTGAGAGGGAGAGTGAGATAGAAACATGAATGATGAGAGAGAATCATTGACCAGCTGCCTCCTGCACGCCCCCTACCGGGGCTTGAGCCTGCAACCGGTGCCCTGACCAGAATCCAACCATGACCTCCTGGTTCATAGATCCATGCTCAACCACTGAGCGGTGCTGGCTGGGCCTTTAATTATACTTTTAATAACCACTTTATGTGCTTTTTTGAACTCTTTGCTAAGTATTAAGTCCATATACTTTGGAAAAAACATATTATCTGATTGTTGCTGAAATTTGAACTGTTTCATATTTCAGAATAAGAAAATAAGGTTACAGTAAACCTCATAACAATAACATACATTTGCAAAGATATTAGTGAAAGTTATTCACTTATGCAGGTATTTACATAATTCCTGTGAGGTTGCTTAGGAAAAAATTAAGACTTTTACCAGTGTTTTCAGATAAAGTAGTAGTAATTAGTTGGAGTCTGCAGATTAGAAAACTTCATTATCAAAGTGCTTATTAGATATCAAAAAAATTACCAGTTGTTTAAGTATTCCAGATTTGTTGTTTAAGATTCTAAATTGGCCCAGCAGGCATGGCTCAGTGGTTGAGCATCGACCTATGAATCAGGAGGTCACAGTTCAATTCCTGGTGGGGCTCCTGGGTTGTGAGCTCAATCCCTAGTGTGGGGTATCGGAAGGCAGTCAATCAATGATTTTCTCTTATCATTGATATTTTTATCTTTCTCTCCCTCTCCCTTCCTCTCTGAAATCAGTTAAAAAATGTATTTTAATCCTCCCCCAAGGATATTATTCCATTGATTTTAGAGAGAGAGGGAAGGACAGAAACACCCATGTGAGAGAAACACATTGATTGGTTGCCTCATACAGGCACCCTGACCAGGGTCTGGGCGGGGGAGGAGCCTGCATCTGAGCTATGTGCCCAAATCGAACCCACGACCCTTTGGTCCACATGCCAACGCTCTTTCCACGGAGCCAAACCTGCTAGGGCAAAAATTGACTTAGTTTTCTGCCAAACATTTCTCCTGGATTTCTTCTTCTTCTTCTTCTTCTTTTTTTAAAATATATTTTTATTGATTTTAGAGAGGAAGGGAGAGAGAGATAGAAACATCAATGATGAGAGACAATCGATTGGCTGCCTCCTGCAGGCCGTCTACTGGGGACCGAGCCCACAACCCAGGCATGTGCCCTTGACTGGTATTGAACCCGGGACCCTTCAGTCCGCAGGCTGACACTCTGTCCACTGAGCCAAACCGGCTAGGGCCATTACTCCTGGATTTTATTTGAGTTGAAACCTTTGCTTATAAGAGATATTAATTTTTGTCCCCAAATGGTGAAAGTTTCTCTGTTGCTGTAATGTGTTGTGTGACAAGTTAGTCAACAGATCGTAGTTCTTACTATTTAAAAGTATTTTGTCTTTTGTCTTTGTCAGAGCTACAGGTTCAAAACTTTGTTAGTTGAACACACTTTCTCTTTGGTGACATCTCTCTCCATTGCAAAGAATTTACACTAGTCCTAGACACAGAAGCTTTTAAATACCGGTGTATTGGAAAATCTTACATTACTCTCATCTTTTCTGGCCCTTGAACGTTTTAGTGTTTTCTGGTAGAGCGACTAACTTCATAATGTTTGTATTGTACCTTATATTCATAATTTGAGTGCCTGTAAATTCCCAGGACTGGGTAGTATTGGAAAGGGCATGGGTTTCAACAGGAGACACACCTAGGTTTGAATGCCAGGCTCACCACTAACTAGCTTTCTTCTACTTAGGTCAGTTAATTAAACTTCTGAACTTCAGTTTCCTTTTATATGAAAACTAGTGGCCTGGTGCACGAAATTTGTGCACATTAAAAGGGAATTAATTAGAGGAAATATTTTAATATTGCTATTTGCCCTTTCTCTATAATAAAGTATCAGAGATGAAAGAAAATTAGTAAAATGTATATGAAAATCTTCTGCCCGTCAGAGTCTAGGGTGTGCGGCAGGACCCATCGTCAAGTCCCCGCCCACCCACATGCACCTTGAAATCGTGTGAGACCCAGACCTGGCCAGCCCCACCCCCATTGGGTGAGATCCAGACCTGGCCGGCCCCACCTCCGTCAAGCCCCACGGGTGGGAGACGCAGCCTCAGGGCCCCCATCAAGCCCTGCCGGGTGAGGTTGCTTAGGAAAAAATTAAGACTTTTACCAGTGTTTTCAGATAAAGTAGTAGTAATTAGTTGGAGGTGCAGCCTCAGGTACCCCGGCCTGGTGCCAGGAGGGGGGGCGCAGCCTCAGGTCCCCCGGTACACCCTCAGGTCCCCCGGCCTGGCGCGGGGGCGGGGGGTGTGGCCTTAGGTCCCCTGGCCTGGGGCGGGGGGGCACAGACTGAGGTCCCCCTCAAGCACCACTGGGCCGGGGGCGTGGCCTCAGGTCCCCCGCCCAGGCCCAGCGCCATGGAGCTTCAGGTCCCTGCTGATCACTTGTTACGGTTTGTTACGGGAACCCTGCCTCCGCTGTGGGCACAGCCATCTTGTGTTGCAGGAACCCTGCCTCCAGTGTGGGCGCAGCCATCTTGTGATGGTGTGATGGAGTGAGGATCAATTTGCATATTACAGCTTTATTATATAGGATGTTAATTATAGTATCTAAAAAGTGAAAGGAAGTGTCTAATATATAGTGAGCATTCAGTGAATTTTAATATTTTTCTGTTAGTGATTTGAATTGGTGACATTTTCAGGTTTTTTAATCCTATATAATAAAAGCCTAATATGCAAATTGTTTGGGAGTTCGACTGCTCCCTATGACGTATCCTGACCACCAGGGGGCGGCGCGGAACATGGTGGGTGTCGGCGATGCGGCGCTGGCAGGCGACAGTGGAGGCACTGCCGGTCCCGATGGGCCCCGATGAGAGCGGGACTGCAGCGGGATGGTGGAGCAGGTGAGCGGGCATTGCCAGGCCAAGGTGGCTGTGAGTGGGGGTCCGACTGCCCACTGATCGCCCTTCAGGCACTTAGGGAGCCAGGCAGGGTGCCCGGTCCTGATTGATTGCCCCTCAGGTAGGATGGTGGAGCAGGTGAGGGTGCGGTGCCAGGCCATGGTGGGGTGCCAGGTGGAGCTGGGGCTGTGAGCCTGGGGGCGCGAGTTGGGGCCTGATCCCCGCAGGCCACCCTGAGGAACCATACCCGTGCATAAATTTGTGCACCGAGCCTCTAGTTGTGATGTAATTGACATAACGTTATATTAGTTTTAGGTGCATAACATAATGGTGTTTTGTTTTTTGTTTTTTGCTTTTTCATATACACTTTTAAAAAAATTTAATTGATTTTTTTACAGAGAGGAAGGGAGAGGGATAGAGAGTTGAAAACATCAATGAGAGAGAAACATCGATCAGCTGCCTCCTGCGCACTCCCTACTGGGGATGTGTCCGCAGCCAAGGTATATGCCCTTGACCGGAATCGAACCTGGGACCCTTGAGTCCGCAGGCTGATGCTCTATCCACTGAGCCAAACTGGTTAGGGCCCATATACACTTTTAAATAATTTTTTATTTTTCAGTTGCAGTTGATGTAGAATTTTATATTAGTTTCAGTTGTACAACCCAATGATGAGACATTAATGTAACTTACGAAGTGATCACTCTGATAAATCTATTACCCATCTGACACCATACATAATTTTAACAATACTAGAGGCCCGGTGCATGAAAATTCATGCACTGGA